GAGAATCATTAACCTAAAATGCTACCAAAAAGACTGCAGAAGTGGCAAACATTACTATCAGGAAAAATAGAATTCAAGGCAAAAGCGATAAAGAGGCAAATTTCATAAGTGTAAAACTCACCAGTAATATATTAATTAATCAGTTATGAAACTGTATAACTTATAATAACGTCTAGAGCAAAACCTTTTAGAAATATAAGGAGAAATAAAACTATCACCTTAGACAGAAGTCAATATTCCTCTCAGATAAACAAGCAAATAAAATAGATTGAAAACAAGACTCTGGAATATGTGAATTACATTTTTAAAACCCTGATATAATAATAAACTTTAAGCCTAATAAGCTTTTTCTAAATATTCAGAGATTAAAGAAGCAAAAAGGAGTCAGGCACGATGGCTCACACCTGTAATCCCAGCACTTTGGGAGGCTGAGGTGGGGGAATCACCTGAGGTCAGGAGTTTGAGGCCAGCCTGGCCAATGTGGCAAAACCCCATCTTTACTAAAAATACAAAATTAGCTGGTGTGGTGGAGTATGCCTGTAATCCCAGCTACTCAGGTGGCTGAAGCAGGAGAATCGTTGCTGGAAAACCAGGGAGGTGAAGGCTGCCGTGAGCCAAGATCTGTGCCAGTGATCCACCCTGGGAGACAAATGAGACTCTGTCAGGAGGAAAGAAAGAAAGAAGGAAAGAGAGAGAGAGAGAGAGAGAGAGAGAGAGAGAGAGAGAGAGAGAGAGAGAGAAGAATGAAAGGAAGGAAGGAATGGAGAAAATAAAAAAGAAATGCCAATTGTATGCCAAGAAAATAAAAGAGAGGGGTTTAAAGATATTACCATCTCAATAAAATTGTCACTTGAAATGGCAGCGAAGACCACCAAAGTCTGAAAATATCAGTGAAATTTAGATCCCAAAAAGCTAAACAGAATACAGGAAGGTAATAAAAGTATATAATCAAAATGAACTGATGCACATTAAGTTATCACAACACTAGTTTCCAACATGGTTGTTTAAATCACTTCTGTCATTTTTTATATGGATTTGAAAGATGGAAAACACTAAAGAAGACGATTGGGCTGAAGTGTAATTATTTCAAAAATGACTACAATAATTCAATAATGCAAAAATACAAAAATAGAATAAGATAAAATAAGAAAATATGAATAATGAGTAACAATAAAATCTCTGTACTTCCAAACCTGGAGGATGCAGCCTAAGCAATACCCATGGGAAATTTCAGAATTTTAAATGCTTTTGGAGGAAATAAACAAGGAAATATATGCACCAAGCATTCAACTCAAGAAAGTAGTACAAGAAAAATATGAACACAGGAAGTATACAGAAGATATTAAAGATAATAGCAGAAATTAAGTAGAAAACATCTCCTTACTATAGATTTTGTTATTAGCAAAACCAAGTGTCTTTAAAAAAACCAACAATAAAATAGATAAACTTCTGGTAAGGCTGATAATAAGAAAAGGTGAACATGCAAACAAGAGAATTGTGAAACGAGTCATAATTGACAAGATAGGTCAAAAAATATTGATTACTATGTACAACTTTGAGATCTAGGTGAAATGAGATTCCCTAGTGAATTACCAACTCTCAAAAGTGGGCTCTTGCAAAAGCATTATTAGTTTAATCATTTTCTCTAAAAGAAATTGCAAGAGTCATCCCACTCAACCCCCAATCCTGGCCCAAGAAATGAGGTTCAGATAGTTTTCGAGGGGAATTTTACTAAACCTTTAATGAACATATAATTTCTGTAAGCACAGGAAGACGGGCAAGTTTTCCAACTCATTCTACTAGGCTAATATTAACTCAATATAAAAATTGCATTGAAAAAATACTCTCCCAGCAAGAATCAACAAAAACAAAAACCAAACCTATATACCAAATTAAAATGATGAAAAAATAATCATGACCAAGTGGGAATTCAAAAGTGGCTCAACATTAGTAAAACTATCAATTTATTTCATTCATTCCTTTATTCAAAAAATACTGAATGCCTACCATGTGCCAGACATTGTTCTGCTATAAGATATGGCCCACAGGGGAAAATAAAGAGTCATGGCTCTTATAAAAAGGTAGGGGGAAAAAGAGAAACAGCTAAAGAAAATAATTTCAGAATGCTATGATTCTATGAAGAGCATTTGCAGGGTGGTATAATAAGAATAAATGGGGAGGAAATATTTATTTAAAAAGGCACTTTTATTATGTTTTTATTTGAGCTGAAACTGGAGGATGGAAAGAAACTTTCCAGAAAGAGGAAAAAGCAGGTGCAGGAAAAAGACTGGAGGTTTGAGGATCAAAAAGAAGGCTGGTTGCTAGAACAAAATGGTGGAGGAGAGGGGTTAGAGATTAGAGAGATGAGTAAAAGACTCTTCTGTAGGGCAGGGTGTCTGCAAACTATATAGTCTATAAGCCAAATCCTGCTTGTTGCTTGTTTTTGTAAATGAAGTTCTATTGCAACGCAGCCAGACCCATTCATTTACATACTGCTTAAAGCTGCTTTCTATATACAATGGCAAAAGTGAATAGTTGTGGCAGAGATTATATGTCTTTAAAAGACAAAAAGATTTACTGTTTGGCTCTTTACAGAAAGTTCGCCATCCTCTGATGTACAGCCAAACAGACCCCGGTAGAGTTTGAATTGCTGTCTAAATGCAATAGGAAGCCACCTGAGAGATTTAGGCAGGAGGGTGTGGCACAGGCTAACTTCTACTTTTTAAAGCTATCTTTGAGGTCACAATATGTGTTACCTTTCAGATAGGGTACTGACCAGGAGGAGGCATGAGACTTTTGAGGTAACAAGATACAGAAATATTCTATATCTTGAAGGGAGCGGGGTGGTGGTTCACAGGTGTATATGTATATGAAAATTTATGAAGCTGCATTTTTAAAACTTTTTTTTTACTGTGTACAAGGTAAACCTTAATGAAGAGTTTCAAAAGCACGAATGTATACCATAAACAAAGTTAAGAGAAAAATAGATTGCAAGAAAACAATTTGCAGACAAAATTTTAATACTCCTCAGCAAAGAAATTCTATAAATTAATTAGAAAAATGACAAAAGATATATTTTAAAATAGTAAGATATGGAGAAATGGGGATTCTTATACATATGCTGGTGAATGTAAATTTGTACAACCTTTTCAGGGGATGATTTGTCTATATCCACAAAATTAAAAAAAATAATACTAATACCCTTTAAGGCAGCAATTTCACTAGAGGAAGCCGTTCAATAGCAACATTTGAACATAGTAAACAAAAATATGTGTACATTCTAATGATGCTTAGCATTGTATTTAATACTAATAAACTAGTAAGTGCCTAAAATTACAAATTACCCATTCACATGGGCATGATTACAGAAATTATGACACACCCATGCTATGAAATATTGTATGTACAGATGCACAGGAAAGATGCCTGAGATGTGTTTAGTGGAAATAGCAAATTACACAATGAGACATTACTTCCTTTTGTTTTCTTCAAAGATGTACACCAAACTACTGACAGTTTGGGATTTTTAGAGGAAAAGTGAAGGCACCAGGGAAGACGAAAGAGGTCTTTCACTTCTCCCTAATATTTTATTATTGACTATTTGAAACATACAGCAAAATCGAACAAATTTTACGGTGAACATCAAATATGATCACTTCCTAGGTTTTATCACTAACATTTTACTACACTTGGGTCATATATTTCTAACACAATATGCTTTTAAATATACAGATTGTGTTTTATTTTGGCACACAGACATTACCTTTTGTAATATAAATATGGTTTTAATGAATAGATAGCATGACAAAATAGACACAAAGTATTAATCCCCTCAACTCTTCTTTAGGACACAAATTTTTCATTTACATATTCAATTCTAAAAATTAAAGTAATCAACATTTAGAGTAATAGTGCACTACTGCCTTATTTCACTCTTGAGATAAAATCATTCCATTTTTTAAAATCCCAGAAATAGTTATCTTGTTTTTAAAATTTAGTTATTTAAGACATCCTTGCCTACACATTGCTATAACATCTTTAACTGGATGTGAATATAATTGCATGTTTTTTGAGCTACTTATCCTTTTACTTTCAAGTTTGTTGCTTACACGTCACAGCAAGATTATGATTTAGTATTGTGACAACATTTTAAAAGGGACTGAAAAGCAGTAATGCAGAAAATTATAATCTTTCTCCTTCCAGTACTTTCTCTTATTTTATTTTTTGCATTTTATTTCTTTCCCCATTTCAAATGTGTTCATGCCTACAGTACTATCATTCCCCTTAATTTCATCTCTTAGAGAAGAAAATGTAATTGACAAGCAGTTGCTGATGAAAAGCTAGTGTTTTCAGGTTAAATTCCTACTTCTGATACAGAAAAATTGAACTTCTTAGATCAGTACTGTCTGTGGTGAGTAATAAAAAACAAGAAAATGAGAATGCCAAGCCTTCCCATAAAACCACACATTTAAAACGTGACATTTACATAACTGTTACACAGCGTTTCAATCAATGTAAAGTACTAAGGAATACCTCACGGAACATCCTTTTCCAATGAAGATTAAAACATGCAAAAACGCAAATTTTTACAACCTTTATGCTAAATTAAAATCTATAAGCTCTTCAACCGTCACAACGTACTATTTCCACAACTGGATTGGAAATAAAACGAAGCGTAATTCCACCACAATCAAACATGTAAAGAACGTATGAGGAATACTGACTCCCACATCGGTACGTATGCCAGACTGAATTTTAAGATGTAGTCAGACACTTCCTGAATGGCTGCTTTTGCAATCAAAGAAACAAACAAACACCAACAAAAACCACGGGCTGTGCAAATTTCATTAAGCATCCCTGGGTCATTCAAGAAAACTTGTCGACCTGTCACTCCTGGCTTGCAGTTAACAATACAAAAGCATTTTCATTTCTTTTCCCATTCAAGCAAGCTCCTGAAAACTATTTTAAAAAACCCTCTGCCATTCTTTCCAAACACTTACCGCTGAAGTTGAGCTCCTCAGGTTGCTTGTCAGTTAACCAGATATCTCCATACGGATCTTCGTTATTCCACAGCGCCAAGTAATGACTCTTCCCGCCTCTTAAAGGCCTCTCTGGTTTCTCCTCGTGCGCTCTATTTCTGAAGGGAGTTTCTAAAGAAATAGTGTCTAAGGTCTCCCCACAGTGGACGTTACCTAAGCACAGGATCCCCTGGCCTATCCTTTTCTCATTGTAAAGACATGAGACTCTGGAAATTCTCATTTGTATGCCAACTTTAAGAATATTTTGATATACGAGAGAATTCAAGCTGGGGTCCAAATAGCACTTCTCCTGGTACACCCCGTCTGAGATAGTCACATCATAGCAATAAAGGGGAGGCTTGGGCACCGTGTCGCGTGGCTCATCCTCTAACAGGTACCTTTGGACGGCCAGCACAGTGACAGGCACCACCTCCGAGGGGGTGACACACTGGAGAGGTGAGTCCATAATCTGTTCAAGAATCTTTTGGATCCAGGACCTGCGCCCTTGGGCACCAGCTCTTCGGATCACCCCTCCCGGGACCCCAGCCCGATTTCTCTCAGGGTTCGGCCAACCTGTCCCTGCATGTGAGGGACCAGCTTCAGGCTGTCCTGACTCACCAGACATTGTTGAATAACTGCGTACCCGCTTCACTACCAAAAGCTAGTTTGCCTCGTCCAAAGCGGAGAGAAATAAAACCGCGCGCTTTGGCGACGATCGCTACTCTGCCTCTGCTGACGGGCAAAGCTCCGCCCCGTACCGAAGCTGCAAAGACTTTACGCGTGCGCGCGCCAGCTCTCACACCCCGCCTCTGGTTCCGTGCGCTTCCGACTCGAGACACCGTTACTAGGCAGTCACACGTGCGAATTACGTAGCAGGTCGTCCCACCTCGTGCGGCGGGGTTCTATTGATAGTGTGGGGAGGGACGACAGGGGAAGGGGAGGGGGAATCGGTGGTTGTCATGGTTCTTAAAGAGAGAAGGGGAGGAGCACTTGCGGCTCCCCTGGAAAGGAGGATACCTAGAGGCAAGGGAAAAGAGAAAGTGGCAAGAATCCGGGTGCAGAGTCAGTGCTCAGGAGTTTGAGGGTTTTGGCTTTGCGCCGGGAACAGAAAGTACTTTAGAGTTGGTTAATATACATTAATGTAATAACGTGGGTTTCCTGTAGTATGAACAAAACCAGATAATGTATGCGCAGCCTCCAGGACGGTTCTTAGCACAAAAAGTCCTCAATAAACATTAGCTGCTATTGCGATTAGCATTAGCATAATTATCTTTAGTGGTTCCCTGAGTGTAGGGTGGGTGAATTAGTGTTTAAGTGCAAATGAAAATAGAGAACTAGAATTTGATTCTAAAGGGCTGCCTTTAGATGAGACTTCTTAAAATGCACATAATTTTAATATAAAGACTTCAGAAACTTAGTTTGTTTAATGCAAGGCATATATCAGGAATGAATTTAAAGTGAAAAAGCTGGTAAGAATAGTAAAAATTAAGGATAAAATATTTATCAGATGTTCTTAGATGTACCAGTATACACAGAAAGAAGTAACTGTTCTAAGAATACTTTTAAAGATAGTCGTGAGCTAATTTTGTTTATGTTAATTTCTTTTGGCTCTCTAGTTTATCATTCTTTATTCACTATTTATGAAGTCTCTATATGAAGTAGGCACTGTTTTAGGCCACTAGGGATAACTGTAGTCAGGGTCCTACCCTCAAGTTTCTTCTCATTGCTTGGGCTAAAGAATCCTGCCGTTATTAATATATTTAATTAATTTACTCATTCTATACAGAATTCTTTAGTGACTGGTCTGGGCCGGGTATAGCCTTGCTAGGGAGACCAAAAAAACATAGTAAAGGGAAAGAAAGTGGAGGGAACAGGATTTAATATTTATAAAAAGTATGATTACAGAAAGGCTCTCTAGTAAGAGAATGAACAGAACAGAGACGTACAGGAAGTAAGGAAGTGAGTTATATGGATATCTGGGGGAATGACACTTGAATCAGCGAAAACAAGAAGAACAAATTCCGTGAGATAGAAGCATACTTGATATTTTCAAGGAAATGCAAAAGCCAATCAGCTGTGGAGGGGCAGGGGGAGAGTGGTAAGTGGTGAGGTCAGAGAGGTAACAGGGTTTCTTCTGTTATGAGCAAAGAGTGACATGACACTTCAGCTTGAACCTCACTTCCTTCATCATGCCTCCCCTAACCAATTCAGTCTAGAATAATCTTTCTCTTCTCTGTATCACTCATTTGATATTTATCATCTAAAACTTGCAATGAAAAAAAAATTAATGTATGTATGCATAACTCAAAGTTTCTCAACATGGGCACTCTTGATTCTTTGGGCCCCAAAGCTTTTTGTTGTGGGTTGTCTTGTGCACTGCAGGATATATAGCAGCATCTCTGGTCTCTACCCATTAGATGCCTGTAGTACCTCCACCTTCAGTTGCAACAACCAGAAATATCTCCAGACATTGCCAAATGTCCCCTGGGGGGCAAAGTTGCTCCAAGTTGGAACATCTGATTACGATCTGCATTAACTAGATCTTAAACTTTTCAAAAGCAGAAATTGATTTGTTCTTTTTTGCTTCCTGTAGTTCCTTCATTACTGCTATGCATAAAAGACACTCAAGTAGTTTAAATAAGTAAAACATACTATTCCCAGTGTCTCTGTACCAAAGGGAATATACAAGTGTGGCTCTCCATAAACAAATACAATACACAAAAATCCAAACTTGTCAAACGTAAAATAAGTTTCCTGAGTGTAGATACTTTGTTATGTTCGCTGCTGAACCTCCAGCGGCAAAATCAGTATCTAGCATATAGTAGGTATTCAATAGTATTGTGGAATGAATAAATGAAATTATGGATTGGTATTGCATTTATTATATGGGTCATTAAATGTCAACTATCTCTGTTGTTTATCCAAAGAGAACATGTTTGATATCTTTCAATCCTATTCCATCAACAGCCCCTAAATTATGTATGCTCAGTGAAATTTATGAATAATAGTATTGTCTCATCACATTCTGGGTCCTTCCAGCTAATTCATGAAAGATGGGTATTGGCAGTGGTGCTTAGTATTTGGATAATTGCTGCCATTGGGAAGAAATAGCACTATGTGCAGTTTTACACTACTAATAACAAAGATGTATGGTGACTGTGGGCACACATTTGGAGACTTGTATTGCTCTACTGACAATCTACTGATAGTGTGCTTCTCCCCAAGAATTATCATGTCTACTTGAGTAGCAGTCACACCTATGAAAGTATGAATGCTCTCTGATTTCGCATTACTAAACACCTGTTTTAGGATCAATTTCACAATAATAGAAAAGTAAAGGATATGAACTTCAAAGCCAGTAATAAGTATTATTAAGGCTATTGATCTTTTTCTTTTCTCAGATCTGGAAGGTTTATTATAGTGCCTTCCAGGGTTTAAAATGATAAAGGTAAGCAAGAAAAAATTTTATAAAATGGGAATACTAAAATATATTCAAAACACCTTAAATAGGTTATGAAATGTATTTTGGTAGTCCACTAAATTTGGTGCAGGTATAAGTCACATTGACTTTCCTCATTTTTAAAATTGAACCAATAAAAGTAGGCACAGTTGTTGAATAATTAAGTTAGTTTATATGCGCAGAGTGCTTAAAACAATGCCTGGCGCATAGTAAGAGCTCAATAATTGTTAGCTATTGTTACTATTATTCTAAAAGGAAGATAAATGCATATCATGGAATACTGGAACTATAGGGAGCCATTAGATGCCTATTTGTTCAGTGTACTTCAAACTGTGAACTGTGAAACATTAATGAGGCGGTGAAGTCAATTTATTAGGTCACAAACAGCAATTAAAATATGTAAAAATAGCACAGAAACTTTGAGAGTGCATCACATATATTAAAGGTAAGAATTGCTTTGTAAAATGTTTGTGTTAAATTTGATGTATATATATGTGTATACTGGGTCGTGATGTAAAATATATTTCTTATTATGGGTTTGGCCAAAATGTTTAAAAGAAACTTCTATAGTTCAACTATCTCTTATTATAAATGAAGAAACTCAGGCTAGAAAGGGGGATGAATATGAACAAGATAATAGTGTGATAAGTGGCAGAGCGTAAGAACTATTAGCCAAGCCTTTTGATCATCAAGCCTTAAAAAAGGGCTTTGCATGACATTAGGTAGTGCAGATCCCGCATTATCTTCCACATATATAATTTTTTTTCTTTGAAGAACGTTGTTTTTCCTATCCTCACATTCACTTAACAATCCTTTCATTCATTTGCCTGGGTAGACAAATTAGCATCATTCTCCAGCCTTGGACATTGGAGGTACATGTAGGTTCATCAAATTCATAAGATTATGAGAGTGTGTGGAATTGTGGGAGAGGAAGAAAAAGAAGTGGCATGACTAGTTGGTGCTAAAAGGATGTGGAGAGTTCGGCTGCTATCTCAAAGAGTATTTAGGTAAGCTCTCCAAACATCACCACGGTAACAAGAGAGGGCCTGAGGGTGGCTGCCTGGCAACCAGAGCACTACAACCTCCAGCGCAGTGCTGCCCTTTTCCAACATCTTTCCCTTTTAAGGCTGCTCTTGATGATTTTATTAACTAAATTGCCGCTATATACAAGGAGCGATCTGTATAGCTTATAATAGCTCATTGAAATCAAGGTTATTCCCATGTTATCTTTCTATCTGTTGTCGAATGAGGTTTGATGGATACATTTGAAGCACACAAACAGAAGTTTTTAACACAGACTTACCCTTAAAGTGGTTCTTGACTCCTTTTGCCTTTCAGTATCTCAAGCAAATGTTCATATTTGTTCCTTTCCTTTGCTTAACCTGAGCACCTATCAAACATACTATAAATGGATGATTGATGTTGTTCCCCCTTCCTTTCTTCCATCTAAATCTTACTTCTATTTTTAATAAAGACCTAGACATGTTAGCTTTTCTTCTGGGTCTTAATATTATATATCTGTAAGAGACTTGTATTTTAGAATGTAGATTTGCTGTTTTAAGTTTATTAGGTCTTTCTTTTCTCTGACTATTAGAGAAAGTGGTATTGCCAGTAAACTGGGATTCTACAGATTAACTTAGTCCTTGTTACACTCACTTATCATCCTCATTTGTCATGATGTGTCTAGCATGCTTCAATGCTTATATTATTTTTCAGAATTTTGTTTGTTAAAATGTGTGGCTAAAATTTGATGATATTTTGGAAATCTGAACTCCAGCGTCTACCCTGTGTTGCTGTACCTGAAATAGAACCGGACTGCAAGTTGGTTCAAAATAGGCTATTTATCTAAAGATGTCTTTGTTAGTTTTTAAAACAAACAAACAAACAAACAAACAAACAAATAAATAAATAAATATATAAAACAGCCTTATTAAAATATAATTCACAGACCATACAATGGACCCATTTAGAGTGGAAAATTAAGTTGTTTGTGGTATATTTAAAGACTTGTGCAACCATCACCACAATCTAATTATAGAACATTTTATTATCCTATAAAGAAACCCTCTACACATTAGCAGTGATTTCCAATTCCAACCGGCCACTGGCAACTGCTAACCCAATTTCTGTCACTATGGATCTGCCTACTCTGGACATTTCATATAAATGGAAATATACATTGTACTTGCCTTCTTTCACTTTGCATAATAATTTTAAGGTTCATCCATGTTATAGTATACTTCATTCCTTTTTATGACTGAATAATATTTCATTGTATGGATACACCACATTATGTTTATCCATTCATCAGCTGATGGACATTTGGGTTGTTTCCACTTTTGGCTATTATCAATAAAGCTGCTATGAATAT